CGAAACTGCTAGATCGCACTCCTGAGCTTTCACTCCTATGTTGTGATCGAGTACTTGAAATTTGTTTTTTTTTTTGTAAAATTTTCATTTGAACACTCGATCACATCCTTGTTGATCACTCTGGCTGTTATTCATTTCCTGAGAATCAAAGACACAACCAAAACGAATCAAAAGTAATCAAATAAATAAAAATTATATACAGGGATAGTCATGGGACTTCCTCCCAAGTGAGCTTGTTTAGAGTCTCTAGCTTGACTCCTCACACTAATCAAGTGGAGAAAATGTGACAGAGGGAACTTGAGAAGTCCTCCTCTTCACTGATATCATCATCATACTCAGCATCCTCCCTTGACAGTTGCACAGCTGAGTACTCAATTCTTCTTTCCTCATAGTAGGCTGCTTTCTCCTCTGGAGGATAGTCTTTCTCTTCTGACCAATCCCACGCGATCTCCTTTCTTGAAATCGTGTCACGGTTGACCTGGGGCTGAACCTCCTTTTGCATTCGACTTAGTTTGTCTCTAAGCTTTTCAACAGTGTAGCTCAGCTTCTGAATGTTCTCCAGATCAGTCTTCCTTTTGAGTTTCAGCCAATCAAGTGAGGAGGGTATACTCGATCGAGTAGTAACTTGACATGCCTCCCAAGGTTGAGATCAATCTTACCATATCTGACATCTATTACTGCTCCCACTGAGGCTAAGAAAGGTCTTCCTAAGATCAGAGGATCCTTAGACTCTTCATCCTTTTCAAGCACGACAAAATCAGTGGGTACCTCAACTCCATCTATCATTACTGGCACGTTCTCTAGAATGCTGAAAGGTCTCCTTGAAGTTCTATCAGCAAGGATCAAGGTGATGTCACAGGGCTTGTACTGAACGAATCCCAGCTTCCTTGCCACAGAGAGTGGCATTAAACTGACTGAGGCTCCTAGATCACATAGACAATTGTTGAAAGTCAATTGCCTAATGGAACATGGCAGAGTGAAAGATTCAGGATCTTCCAGCTTCTCTTGAATAATCCTCTTACCAGCGGTTTGATGCATAATGACATCGTCTTCGTCATCTGAATCCTGATATATGTTGAGCCTTTCTAGTATCAGGTTTCTCACATCTTTGTGAGGATCTGAAATCAACTTTAGGACTTCTACTAAGGGCATCACAGCTTCCATCTCATCAAGTTGTTTTTCTGCCAGAGATTCATATCTGCTTTTCCAAGCTTTCCTGAACGTCCATGGAAGAGCAAGTGAGGGTGATGGAGCTGGCTTGAATCGTTTTATCATCCTCTCGATTATAGCAGCCTTCTCCTCCAAGTCAGACTGAGCCTAATAGAAAGGTTGAGCTGAATAGTCGATCTCAGCAACAAAGACTTCAATCTGAGTTGAAGCCTCCCCTTCTTGAATTACACTGTCCTCAGTGTTTGATGTAGAGACATGTTGAGTTGGCAGCTCTCGCTCATGTCTGATAGTGATTGCGTGTGCAGTGGCGTACTCCTTAGGGTTTTGGATTGCTTTTCCTGGAAGCTGGCCTGGGTTGTTTATAACAGGTGGTGAAGTAGTGACGCCGTCCAGATACCGTACCCTTGTGTTCAATGATTCCAACCTGCTACTCAGTTCATTGAACTGTCTGTCAACTTTGTTGTTTAAGTCAGCCAGCTTCTTAGCGGATTCCATTACCCCTGCGGCTTGGCCTTGCATGATCTGTTGGAGCATATTCTTGATGTCTGATTCCTGGGGTGCAGAGGCCTGATGTTATTGTGGTGTGAAACCAGGTGGTGGCTGTTGCTGTTGATACCCTCCTTGGAACTGTTGCTTAGGAACGAACCCTTGGCTTTGGTTGTAAGTAACAAACGGTTTGGGTTGGTTCTGCTGCAGCTGCTGTTGAGGGTAAACTTGGTCCTGAGGATTGGCGACATTTGTGCTTCTGTATGACAGATTTGGGTTGGGTCTGTAATTGTTGTACCCTTTGTTGTAGCCGCCTTGGTTCTGAACATAACTGATTTCAGCGCCCTGATCATTCTCCCCCTCTTGGATTTGGAATACTTCGTCTTCAGAGGCGAAGTGAACATGCTTCTGCTGCACTTGGAGGAGTTTGTCAATTTTGTCATGGAGAGCTTTAATCTCTCTGCGATGCTTGTCATCAGATTCAGTGCTAGTGCGGATGCTTCTGTCATAATCCTCGTTGTAATTGCCATCCGACTGAGCCAAGTTTTCAACTAGCTCCCATCCGTCTTCGACATCCTTGTTCAGGAAATTCCCATTGGAGGCGGTGTCAAGGAGCATGCGTATCTTAGGCAGGACGCCTCTGTAAAGTGTGCTGAGAAGAGATGCTTCCTTAAATCCGTGATGAGGGCATTTGGTTTGATAACCCTTAAACCGCTCCCAAGCTTCATAGAAGCTTTCATTTAACTTCTGAGTGAATCCGGATATCTCGTTCCGGAGTCTTGCAGACCTGGAGTTGGAGAAGAATTTTGCCAAGAAGGCCCGTTTGCAGTCATCCCAGGTCGTGATTGATCCCTGGGGTAGCGTCTTTTCCCACAGATGGGCTTTATCTCCAAGTGAAAATTGAAACAAGCGAAGCTTGAAACCATCTTCACTAACTCCATTGATTTTAGTAAGGCCACAGAGCCTTTCAAACTCGTCAAGATGATCTAGCGGATCCTCCATTGGTAGGCTATGAAACTTGTTCCCCTGAACCATTGCAATGAGACCGCTTTTGATCTCAAAGTTGTTGTTCTGTACTGGAGGTGGAACAATTCCATGACGCTGGTTGTGGTTGTGAGGGAAGTCACCAGCACCAATGTTGGTAGGTTGCTCTTGCTCATCTACAACGTCAGCCATTGTGTCGGTTTCTGTCTGTTCTCTTAGTTGGCGAGCAATACGATCGATGTTATCGTTGAATAGGAGGTTTTGATTTCCTTGTGACCGTGTATGCATGCAACAGATAGCAACTGGGCTATAACAGACGAATCAGAGATGCGTCTGGAAAGCGGGATGCAAGGTACTTGAAACACAAAGACAGAAAAGGCACAATGTTAGTAACTTGTGTAACAAAAACAAACTTGATCTTAATGTTTCTAATGATCTCAAATATAGCAAACAAATACCAAACTGGCAACGGCGCCAAATTGATAGTAGGATTTTTGTCAATTAATCCCTAAAACATTATCTTGTCGTTGTAGTATTTTAGGATGTCAATCCAATCCAGTGTGATGCAAACAGATGAGATATGATCAGAAAGCTCTAAGTCAAGCCAAGCAGATAGTTGGTTGGTTCTAACAGTCCTAGTATGCAATAACAGAAATGAAATGAAACTAAAAGCAGGAATGGCAATAGCAGGCAAGTGAATGACAAAGCAGAAATGATAACAGGCAATCAAATGGATAAACGATTCCTAAGGATGGGGTAATCGAATAGTGTGGTCTACTTAACCTATTCAGGCGGTTGACAAAACTTCACAGAAGCTATCCCTCAACAAGTTCAACAACAGATTAATTCACTCCCGTGATAGAAATCCTCAAGCAAAGCTAGACACTGACCTAAATCCCTTTAGCGATCTCTAACTAAGCAGGCATTATCGAATCAACATGTTAAAGTCAATACCCTCTCTACAGCCAATCCCTTGGGGTAGAGTCAGATATCTCTGGAATTAATAGGATCCAACGCCCATTAAACGCCTTCTGAGCGCTGGACGTCTGGACTCATACTTCACATTAGCCAGTGAAATAAGCAATAAGCGTAACTAATCCAGAAGGGATTCTAGAATTCTAAACTCAACCACCTAAAACGACCAAGTAAACCACAACTATTCTATCCCATCCTCAGAAATACAGTTCACTACTAAGACATAATCAAAGAGAATAACAAAGCAACAATTGAAAACATGATAACAGAAATGACGAAAGACTTAAACGAAAACTGAATATCAAATACTTGAAAACGAAACTACAAAGTCGCTATAAAAGTTATAGAGTCATAAAGTTTTAACCAAAGAAAAAAATTAAAAAAAAAAGAGGGATGCAATACGAGGACTTCCCGGGAGGTCACCCATCCTAGTACTACTCTTGCCCAAGCACGCTTAACTGCGGAGTTCTGATGGGATCCAGTTTAGTGCTGGTCTGATCGCATCCATTAGTATATGGAATGCAATCGTATATATTCTTTTTTGAAGACTTGATGAACCATTCGCCATGGGTCCCACCCGCGATGTAGGGATACCCCATCTAATCTTAACGAGCTTTGATGCATGAAAAAAATCTAAAACAATGCTTGAACAAGTAATTTTGGGTCCGTAATATAGCCCAAATCACATAAATGCCCGATAAAGTACTTAAAGGTCAAAATTTGGGGTCGACAAAAAGTCAATGGGATAGTTCCATTGTCCTGCTTCTTTCGTCGGAGGGCTCTCTTTAGGCTTTTCGAAAAGGTATCACATGCCAAGTTTAGCCTCACGGTATAAAAGTTATAGACTCATAAAGTTTTAACCGAAAAAAACAAATTAAAAAAAAAGAAGGATGCAAGACGAGGACTTTCCGGGAGGTCACCCATCCTAGTACTACTCTCGCCCAAGCACGTTTAACTAAAGGTCAAAATTTGGGGTCGACAAAAAGTCAATGGAAAAGTTCCTTTGTCCTGTTTCTTTCGTCGGAGGGCTCTTTTTGGGCTTTCCGAAAAGGTATTACATGCCAAGTTTGGCCTCACGGTATAAAAGTTATAGAGTCATAAAGTTTTAACCAAAAAAAACAAATTAAAAAAAATGAGAGATGCAACACGAGGACTTCCCGGGAGGTCACCCATCCTAGTACTACTCTCGCCCAAGCACGCTTAACTAAAGGTCAAAATTTGAAGTCGACAAAAACTCAATACATATGTTCCATTGTCCTGCTTCTTTCATCGTAGGGCTCTCTTTGGGCTTTCCGAAAAGGTATCACATGCCAAGTTTGGCCTCACTATATAAAAGTTATAGAGTCATAAAGTTTTAACCAAAGAAAAAAATTAAAAAAAAAAGAGGGATGCAACACGAGGACTTCCCGGGAGGTCACCCATCCTAGTACTACTCTTTGCCCAAGCACGCTTTACTGCGGAGTTCTGATGGGATCCAGTTTAGTGCTGGTCTGATCGCATCCATTAGTATATGGAATGCAATCGTATATATTCTTTTTTGAAGACTTGATGAACCATTCGCCATGGGTCCCATCCGTGATGTAGGGATACCCCATCTAGTCTTAACGAGCTTTGATGCATGAAAAAAATCTAAAACAATGCTTGAACAAGTAATTTTTGGTCCGTAATATAGCCCAAATCACATAAATGCCCGAAAAAGTACTTAAAGGTCAAAATTTCGGGTCGACAAAAAGTCAATGGAATAGTTCCATTGTCCTGCTTCTTTCGTCGGAGGGCTCTCTTTAGGCTTTTCGAAAAGGTATCACATGCCAAGTTTAGCCTCACGGTATAAAAGTTATAGACTCATAAAGTTTTAACTGAAAAAAACAAATTAAAAAAAAAGAAGGATGCAAGACGAGGACTTTCCGGGAGATCACCCATCCTAGTACTACTCTCGCCCAAGCACGTTTAACTAAAGGTCAAAATTTAGGGTCGACAAAAAGTCAATGGAAAAGGTCCTTTGTCCTGTTTCTTTCGTCGGAGGGCTCTTTTTGGGCTTTCCGAAAAGGTATTACATGCCAAGTTTGGCCTCACGGTATAAAAATTATAGAGTCATAAAGTTTTAACCAAAAAAAACAAATTAAAAAAAATGAGAGATGCAACACGAGGACTTCCCGGGAGGTCACCCATCCTAGTACTACTCTCGCCCAAGCGCGCTTAACTAAAGGTCAAAATTTGAAGTCGACAAAAACTCAATACATATGTTCCATTGTCCTGCTTCTTTCATCGCAGGGCTCTCTTTGGGCTTCTCGAAAAGGTATCACATGCCAAGTTTGGCCTCACTATATAAAAGTTATAGAGTCATAAAGTTTTAACCAAAGAAAAAAATTAAAAAAAAAAGAGGGTTGCAACACGAGGACTTCCCGGGAGGTCACCCATCCTAGTACTACTCTTGCCCAAGCACGCTTAACTGCGGAGTTCTGATGGGATCCTGTTTAGTGCTGGTCTGATCGCATCTATTAGTATATGAAATGCAATCGTATATATTCTTTTTTGAAGACTTGATGAACCATTCGCCATGGGTCCCACCCGCGATGTAGGGATACCCCATCTAGTCTAACGAGCTTTGATGCATGAAAAAAATCTAAAACAATGCTTGAACAAGTAATTTTGGGTCCGTAATATAGCCCAAATCACATAAATGCCCGAAAAAGTACTTAAAGGTCAAAATTTGGGGTCGACAAAAAGTCAATGGAATAGTTCCATTGTCCTGCTTCTTTCGTCGGAGGGCTCTCTTTAGGCTTTCCGAAAAGGTATCACATGCCAAGTTTAGCCTGACGGTATAAAAGTTATAGAGTCATAAAGTTTTAACCAAAAAAAAACAAATTAAAAAAAAGAGGGATGCAACATGAGAACTTCCCGGGAGGTCACCCATCCTAGTATTACTCTCGCCCAAGCACGCTTAACTAAAGGTCAAAATTTGGAGTCGACAAAAAATCAATGGATATGTTCCATTGTCCTGCTTCTTTCATCGGATGGCTCTCTTTGGGCTTTCCGAAAAGGTATCACATGCCAAGTTTGGCCTCACTAGATAAAAGTTATAGAGTCATAAAGTTTTAACCAAAGAAAAAAATTAAAAAAAAAAGAGGGATGCAAGACGAGGACTTCCCGGGAGGTTACCCATCTTAGTACTACTCTCGCCCAAACACGCTTAACTGCGGAGTTCTGATGGGATCCGGTGTATTAGTGCTGGTATGATCACATCCGTTAGTATATGCAATGCAATGGTATATATTCTTTTTTGAAGACTTGATGAACCATTCGCCGTGGGTCGCACCCGCTATGTAGGGATACCCCATCTAGTCTTAACGAGCTTTGAAACATGAAAAAATTCTAAAACAATGATTGAACAAGTAATTTTGGATCCGTAATATAGCCCAAATCACAAAAATACCTGAAATATTACTTAAAGATCAAAATTTAGGGTCGACAAAAAGTCAATGGAAAAGTTCCAAGGATGCAACACGAGGACTTCCCGGGAGGTCACCCATCCTAGTACTACTCTCTCCCAAGCACGCTTAACTAAAAGTTAAAATTTGGAGTCGACAAAAAATCAATGAATATGTTCCATTGTCCTGCTTCTTTCATCGGAGAGATCTCTTTGGGCTTTCCGAAAAGGTATCACATGCCAAGTTTGGCCTCACTGTATAAAAGTTATAGAGTCATAAAGTTTTAACCAATGAAAAAAATTAAAAAAAAAAAGAGGGATACAACACGAGGACTTCCCGGGAGGTCACCCATCCTAGTACTACTCTCGCCCAAGCACGCTTAACTGAGAAGTTCTGATGGGATCCGGTGTATTGGTGCTGGTATGATCGCATCCGTTAGTATATGCAATGCAATCGTATATATTCTTTTTTGAAGACTTGATGAACCATTTGCCATAGGTCCCATCCGCTATGTAGGGATACCCCATCTAGTCTTAACGAGCTTTGAAGCATGAAAAAATTCTAAAACAATGCTTGAACAAGTAATTTTGGGTCCGTAATATAGCACAAATCACAAAAATGCCCGAAAAAGTACTTAAAGGTCAAAATTTGGGGTCGACAAAAAGTCAATGGAAAAGTTCCTTTGTCCTGCTTCTTTCGTCGGAGGGCTCTTTTTGGGCTTTCCGAAAAGGTATTACATGCCAAGTTTGGCCTCACGGTATAAAAGTTATAGAGTCATAAAGTTTTAACCAAAGAAAACAAATTAAAAAAAAAGATGGATGCAACACGAGGACTTCTCGGGAGGTCACCCATTCTAGTACTACTCTCGCCAAAGCACGCTTAACTAAAGGTCAAAATTTGAAGTCGACAAAAACTCAATACATATGTTCCATTGTCCTGCTTCTTTCATCGCAGGGCTCTCTTTGGGCTTTCCGAAAAGGTATCACATGCCAAGTTTGGCCTCACTATATAAAAGTTATAGAGTCATAAAGTTTTAACCAAAGAAAAAAATTTTAAACAAAAGAGGGATGTAACACGAGGACTTCCCGGGAGGTCACCCATCCTAGTAGTACTCTTGCCCAAGCACGCTTACCTACGGAGTTCTGATGGGATCCAATTTAGTGCTGGTATGATCGCATCCATTAGTATATGCAATGCAATCGTACATACTCTTTTTTGAAGACTTGATGAACCATTCGCCATGGGTCCCACCCGCTATGTAAGGATACCCCATCTAGTCTTAACGAGCTTTGATGCATGAAAAAAAATCTAAAACAATGCTTGAACAAATAATTTTGGGTCCGTAATATAGCCCAAATCACAAAAATGCCCAAAAAAGTACTTAAAGGTCAAAATTTGAGGTCAACAAAAAGTCTATGGAATATTTCCATTGTCCTGCTTCTTTCGTCGGAGGGCTCTCTTTAGGCTTTCCGAAAAGGTATCACATGCCAAGTTTGGCTTCACGATATAAAAGTTATAGACTCATAAAGTTTTAACAAAAAAAAAACAAATTAAAAAAAAAGAAGGATGCAACACGAGGACTCTCCGGGAGGTCACCCATCCTAGTACTACTCTCGCCCAAGCATGCTTAACTAAAGGTCAAAATTTGGAGTCGACAAAAAATCAATGGATATGTTCCATTGTCCTGCTTCTTTCACCTGAGGGCTCTCTTTGGGCTTTCCGAAAAGGTATCACATGCCAAGTTTGGCCTCACTAGATAAAAGTTATAGAGTCATAAAGTTTTAACCAAAAAAAAAATTAAAAAAAAAAGAGGGATGCAAGAGGAGGACTTCCCGGGAGGTCACCCATCTTAGTACTACTCTCGCCCAAGCACGCTTAACTGCGGAGTTCTGATGGGATCCGGTGTATTAGTGCTGGTATGATCACATCCGTTAGTAAATGCAATGCAATCGTATATATTCTTTTTTGAAGACTTGATGAACCATTTGCCATAGGTCCCATCCGCTATGTAGGGATACCCCATCTAGTCTTAACGTGCTTTGATGCATGAAAAAATTCTAAAACAATGCTTGAACAAGTAATTTTGGGTCCGTAATATAACACAAATCACAAAAATGCCCAAAAAAGTACTTAAAGGTCAAAATTTGGGGTCAACAAAAAGCAATGGAAAAGTTCCTTTGTCCTGCTTCTTTCGTCGGAGGGCTCTTTTTGGGCTTTCCGAAAAGGTATTACATGCCAAGTTTGGCCTGACGGTATAAAAGTTATAGAGTCATAAAGTTTTAACCAAAAAAAAACAAATTAAAAAAAAGAGGGATGCAACATGAGAACTTCCCGGGAGGTCACCCATCCTAGTATTACTCTCGCCCAAGCACGCTTAACTAAAGGTCAAAATTTGGAGTCGACAAAAAATCAATGGATATGTTCCATTGTCCTGCTTCTTTCATCGGATGGCTCTCTTTGGGCTTTCCGAAAAGGTATCACATGCCAAGTTTGGCCTCACTAGATAAAAGTTATAGAGTCATAAAGTTTTAACTAAAGAAAACAAATTAAAAAAAAAGAGGGATGCAACACGAGGACTTCCTGGGAGGTCACCCATTCTAGTACTACTCTCGCCAAAGCACGCTTAACTAAAGGTCAAAATTTGAAGTAGACAAAAACTCAATACATATGTTCCATTGTCCTGCTTCTTTCATCGCAGGGCTCTCTTTGGGCTTTCCGAAAAGGTATCACATGCCAAGTTTCGCCTGACGGTATAAAAGTTATAGAGTCATAAAGTTTTAACCAAAAAAAAACAAATTAAAAAAAAGAGGGATGCAACACGAGGACTTCCCGGGAGGTCACCCATCCTAGTACTACTCTCGCCCAAGCACGCTTAACTGCGAAGTTCTGATGGGATCCGGTGTATTAGTGCTGGTATGATCGCATCCGTTAGTATATGCAATGCAATGGTATATATTCTTTTTTGAAGACTTGATGAACCATTTGCCGTGGATCGCACCCGCTATGTAGGGATACCCCATCTAGTCTTAACGAGCTTTGAAGGATGAAAAAATTCTAAAACAATGCTTGAACAAGTAATTTTGGGTCCGTAATATAACCCAAAACACAAATATGCCCGAAAAAGTACTTAAAGGTCAAAATTTGGGATCGACAAAAAGTCAATGAAAATTGATCCATTGTCCTGCTTCTTTCGTTGGAGGGCTCTCTTTACGCTTTCCGAAAAGGTATCACATGCCAAGTTTGGCCTCACGGTATAAAAGTTATAGAGTTATAAAGTTTTAACCAAAAAAAAGAAATTAAAAAAAAAGAAGGATGCAACAGGAGGACTTCCCGGGAGGTCACCCATCTTGGTACTACTCTCGCCCAAGCACGCTTAACTAAAGGTCAAAATTTAGAGTCGACAAAAAATCAATGGATATGTTCCATTGTCGCGCTTCTTTCATCGCAGGGCTCTCTTTGGGCTTTCCGAAAAGGTATCACATGCCAAGTTTCGCCTGACGGTATAAAAGTTATAGAGTCATAAAGTTTTAACCAAAAAAAAACAAATTAAAAAAAAAAAGATGCAACACGAGGACTTCCCGGGAGGTCACCCATCCTAGTACTACTCTCGCCCAAGCACGCTTAACTTAAGGTCAAAATTTGGAGTCGACAAAAAATCAACGGATATGTTCCATTGTCTTGCTTCTTTCATCTGAGGGCTCTCTTTGGGCTTTCCGAAAAGGTATCACATGCCAAGTTTAGCCTCACTAGATAAAAGTTATAGAGTCATAAAGTTTTAACCCAAGAAAAAAATTAAAAAAAAAAGAGGGATGCAAGACGAGGACTTCCCGGGAGGTCACCCATTTTAGTACTACTCTCGCCCAAGCACGCTTAACTGCGGAGTTCTGATGAGATCTGGTGTATTAGTGCTAGTATGATCACATCCGTTAGTATATGCAATGCAATCGTATATATTCTTTTTTGAAGACTTGATGAACCATTTGCCATAGGTCCCATCCGCTATGTAGGGATACCCCATCTACTCTTAACGAGCTTTGATGAATGAAAAAATTCTAAAACAATGCTTGAACAAGAAATTCTGGGTCCGTAATATATCCCAAATCACAAAAATGCCCGAAAAAGTACTTAAAGGTCAAACTTTGGGGTCGACAAAAAGTCAATGGAAAAGTTCCTTTGTCCTGCTTCTTTCGTAGGAGGACTCTTTTTGGGATTTCCGAAAAGGTATTACATGCCAAGTTTGGCCTCACGGTATAAAAGTTATAGAGTCATAAAGTTTTAACAAAAAAAAACAAATTAAAAAAAAGAGGGATGCAACACGAGGACTTCCCGGGAGGTCACCCATCCTAGTACTACTCTCGCCCAAGCACGCTTAACTAAAGGTCAAAATTTGAAGTCGACAAAAACTCAATACACATGTTCCATTGTCCTGCTTCTTTCATCGCAGGGCTCTCTTTGGGCTTTCCGAAAAGGTATCACATGCCAAGTTTGGCCTCACTATATAAAAGTTATAGAGTCATAAAGTTTTAACCAAAGAAAAAAATTAAAAAAAAAGAGGGATGCAACACGACGACTTCCCGGGAGGTCACCCATCCTAGTACTACTCTTGCCCAAGCACCCTTAACTGCGGATTTCTGATGGGATCCAGTTTAGTGCTGGTATGATCGCATCCATTAGTATATGCAATGCAATCGTATATATTCTTTTTTGAAGACTTGATGAACCATTCGCCATGGGTCCCACCCGCTATGTAGGGATACGCCATCTAGTCTTAACGAGCTTTGATGCATGAAAAAAATCTAAAACAATGCTTGAATAAGTAATTTTGGGTCCGTAATATAGCCCAAATCACAAAAATGCCCGAAAAAGTACTTAAAGGTCAAAATTTGGGGTCGACAAAAAGTCAATGGAATAGTTCCATTGTCCTGCTTCTTTCGTCGGAGGGCTCTCTTTAGGCTTTCTGTAAAGGTATCACATGCCAAGTTTGGCCTCACGGTATAAAAGTTATAGAGTCATAAAGTTTTAACCAAAAAAAATAAATTAAAAAAATGAAGGATGCAGCACGAGGACTTTCCGGGAGGTCACCCATCCTAGTACTACTCTCGCCCAAGCACGCTTAACTGAAGGTCAAAATTTGGAGTCGACAAAAAGTCAATGGATATGTTCCATTGTCCTGCTTCTTTCATCGGAGGGCTCTCTTTGGG